TAAGTTTTGTTGGCTTATTCCATAGCTGATGAAGTAGTTCACAAAAAATACGCGAGATGTCAGTGTATGTAATTTGGCGACAGAATAAACCACAATATTCTTGAACGCACTTTTCAAAATGTATTCTGTACATGTAGGTACCTGTCTTGTGTGAGTATGATTGTCATTGTATGACCGGGGGGGAGGGGTTTAATCATACGATATTTAATTGCCTACCCTGTCTCGAAAACCTGTGCACGCCACTGTTCTATTGTGTTCCTTCAGTAACGAAAGCTAAGTTAATGAAATATAACTCCTGTTATAAGGCTCATAAATATCGAAAGTTCTCGAAGGCTGCCAGCTCGGATACAATAAACCTTCTCTGATATTTATGAACAAAGAAAGAGAGAGATATAACTATTAGAAAAAGGACAGAATGGCAGACAAACCCACATCCGTTTGTAATATGTGTTAAAATGTATTTTATTCTAAGCTAAAAAGGATATAAAATTCAATAATGCGTAGGTAGGCTATTGTTATTATTAATGGTCACGTAAAATCCGCATTAACAGTCCATAAATATAAGCTGGTGCAAAAGTACCATTGACTTTTTGTTATATCATAAAAAGTTATGTTACATGCCGTTATAAAAATATTATCTCGTTAAAATCTTTGTCAGAGTTTTTGTGCCAAGTGATGACACGCAGATTCAATTTGCTGTCTAACTTATCTGCAACGCCTAAAATAGCTAATCCAACCGGATTTTTGAACTTTCTGAACTATGATAGCCTCTATCATTTTAAAGTGTAGCGAAAAAAAAATTGTTTCTTTTTATTTGCACGTATCTCGCTTTCATTTTCGGAATAAATAATACATCTGCACGATTGTTTGATCTAGCTGCCGTACACCGTGTTCCAGGTCTGATTCCCGTACGGAAAAACTCTTTTATTGACTGTATGATTTACACAGTTTATAGCCATAAGCATGTGTTTAAAAAACACAATTATTGAATAAGCCCTATAAACAACAATGGCAACGCCTTGAAAAAATAAAAACTTCTACAATACAAATTCACAATCAACCCAAGGATACATCACACGAAATACTCTCACGTCCACCGCTGTAGAAGGTTTGTCCTCCCTATATCCGATTTCCACGTATGTCCAGGACTTGTGTGGACTTGTTGGGACCTATTAAGCGACATGTGACCAGATCAGGTTACTCCACAAGCACTGCTTCCTTTATACAATGGCCATTAATGGATAAATTATTGCAGTGAGTGTCGAAATTAATGAGGCATAAAGGCTATTTAGTTTGGAACTATGTAACAAGAAGCTTGGGGGTTACTTTGAGTCCAGTTTAGAGGTGTAGCAAAAAGAGGGATACGTAGAGTATTTGTGTATCTATATCTATTGAGAATGGACTTACCTTGTCATTATCGTTAGATCACTACTAATAATATTATTGGTTTCTAGCAAATGTTTTTTTTTAGTTGCTAGTGACTTCATTTTGCATTCGTTTCCGACTATTCCATTCCAACAAAATATCACAAAGATTTTCGTTTTTACACATTAAGATTTCGTCTAAGTTTATTTATTTAAAAGGCGTATTCCTTTTTAAAACGCCAACGGCAACGCCTGTTTATCCTTGGGTATTGCGGGTGTCCATGGACGACGCTGATCGCTTACCATCAGGCGATGCGTCTGCTCCTTTGCCTCCTATTCCATAAAAAAAAAATTATAGCTATACCAACGGCTTCGGCATACATAGTATTAATAAAAAATGGGTAATAATAAGTACCTATTGGGTTTATACGGTCGCAAATTATAATTTTTGTTAACTAACAACACAGAGTTGAAATTATCAACAGCATGAATGAGACCCATTATCATAACTCGCTAAAAACTCATCACTCATATCGATATCTGTATTCTATCCCGCTAAATAACAAAAACTCGGAACTTACGAAAATAAAAGACTGTTCCATCAAACTAAGGGCAGTTTCAGTTCACAGTTGACAGTTCACTACGACCATAAAGTTAGTAGTTTGAAATTGTCAAACACGGTCACATCTCCGTTCGTGTGACGTATCCAATCATAGTCAGGAAGGCATTGACAGCGGCAAGACATGTCATCATTTATGTTAGAAATGAAAATAAATCGGATTCTACTATTGGTCCTTTATAAAGGACGTTGACGGTCACTTTAGTTTTCGTTTATTTGGTTGGATAGACGATTAGTAACCATTTGAATCATGTTTTTTTAGTTGTAGTGTGTAGCCATTTATTTGTTTTTTTTGTTTTTTCTGTGTTTATCTACGTCATATATTTGACAGTATTTGCAATTGCTTTGACATATTTCCAGTAGGATTTTTTAAGAAATAGTGTAATAGAAATAAGTCTGAATATAATCGAAATGGCGCACTCTTCTCTATTTGGGAATATTTTAATATACACAATCCTATAGGTAGGGCTCTTTTTATTCTATCGCGTTTTGCCAATTTGTTAAGTAAATAGGTACAGTTTAAGTACCATAGAAATACACTATCGTAAACGTAGTAACATTAACTTAAGAACCACTGTAAGTAGACCTGAATATAGTAATAATATGAATTCAGGCTACATAACAGTCTCCTTTTAGACTTCCTAGTACTTACTCATGGTTACACATCGACCTATACATAACTAGTTTATCGTAATCTCACTTTGTAAGATCTCTCAGTACATTCAACGGTCAGATTATACTGGTTCGCACACCTGTGACAGTGTGTGCATAAACATACAATATGTACAATGAACATAATTTTACTATTTAACTGCATATAACATAAAGGAAAACGTTGTTTGAATGTGACAAAAGGTCAATCGTTAATGCAAATTATGTGTGACTAATCGCTACTCTTGCCAATGAATGGATAATATAACAGTATTATTTTACGGTCAATTACTTGTTATTTACATAGAATACTCCGAGAAATTTACTGTGTTTAAATATGTACTTTAAAAAATTTCAGTGTCAACTATGGTTCATGCTAAAAAAGACTGTTCTGCTTTGAACCGCAACATAAGGGGTGAAAAGTGAAGGTTTTATTTAATCATGTTCACCTCAGCCTACCTAAGAAAAAGTAAGCATGATGTTCTTTATGTATTATGTTAGGGCAAAAATCCTTCTAAAACTAAACAAAATTATCCTACTCCTTTAGTCAACGCACATTCAAAGTGACCATTATAAAAAATTCAACCTTAAGTCCAAGGGAAAGTCCAAAATATAGTCCCCAAAAGCATCCCTCAAAACCAGCTAGACCACACCAAAGTAATCTAGACTATGTCAACTCCGTCTTTCAGTAAAGAAGGTTTATAAATAACGGGTTGCGACATAAAATCCCTAAGGCTCAAGTCATATTTTGTGCTCGGAATCCGTAAAAAAACACCAAAGCAAATTTCTTTCCACCCAGACCCTAATGGATTATTAGGAAAATTATTTGCAACGGGAAACTGCAACTTTTACGAACCCAATTTCTTGTAAAAGCGGGTAGTAATGACAATGTAGTCTCCATAAAAAACCGTTAAGTTGAAATGAAGAAATTTTGACAAAGGAGTATGAATTAGACGAACTGGTGTTATGATTTTTTATTTTGAAAACAAATAAGCAGAGACGGTCTTATACTTTTTTGCATCAATATGTTTAATTTATGATTGTTTCATAACATCCCTGTTTATAATATAAATATATAAATCGATAACCGTTACCTACATTTGCAGAATAGATCAAAACAATTTCAACAGTCAACCACACAACTTAAAAACTCATAACAAAACGGTTTATCTCAAAAAGAGCTCAAAATGCCTAATATGTTAGTAATTACACGACCATCCCAGTATAAAGGGCACTTGATTGCATTGATGTTGGAAAACTGCACAATTTTACGAAAAAGCCCCCGAAGCGTTTGGAAATACGGCCATCAGAATTTCATTACCGAAAGATTAGGTTTCCGTCGCCTACTGTACTCTGTACACTGTACATGTGTATACAACCCCTTTGGACAGTTTTCGGAAAATATATCAAAGGAAAACACGGTGGCTTTGTATGCTTTTTATACTGCATCTTGTTTAGATTGACTGTAAATTGTGTTTGATACCAACATTTACAGTTTTTTATGACAGATAACCATTTTTATACCTAGAATGTCTTATGTGTGTTAGTCGTTCAAATCCAATATGAAATTAAAACGATATTTCTTTGGGTTTTCTAAAGTCGATTTAAGCAACAATAGGAATAAATAAACAAAGCTCTAAAAATGATGAACAACACAAAATCTAATAAGGTTGATTTTTAATTAAATAGTGTTAATATTAAACTCACGAATAATACAAAAAACAATGTTACGAATTTTTAATATAATTTATTCACTAGTTCTATTAATTCCACTTTTATTGCATTAAAAATAAAAAATTGGTCTGCTTTTTGTTACCAAACAAACCAGAATTATTAAAATGCATGCTAAATGTTAAATAATAATATTGTGTAAATATTCCTCGTACAGGTTCATCCATGTTTCGCAACACGTGTTGTCTGGTCCCATGTAACACGAGCGGGGTCTTGTTCAACACGAACCTCGAATCTGGTTTCCATACTATAATGGCGTAGATTTATCCTGAATCAAAATAATGGTTATAATAATGACAATCGAATTAATTGTGTAAATTTTACAGTGTTTTTAAAACCAAATTCAAAGTCAAAATTATTTATTTCAATTAGACCAGGAAGATTTTTGAACGTCAACAACAAAAAATATTAAATAGATTGAAGCTGTTTCCGCAACGAACGAGCATAACACTACATAGTATTATAATATTAATGATTGTCGCAAGGAACTATCTCCTTCTGCATGGTATAATTTTTGTTTCTGCAGGTAATAGGGCAGTTTCAATGTAATAAAAACCACGAGTAGAAAGCTGCTAGTTCTTAATAATCTTCTGTGATAATAAATCGTTTTAATTCTAATTTACTTTTATTTACAGGTCAATTCGGCAACTATATCGCCTTGTGGTAAGTGATACACTTCATATTCTTTAATAACTTGTTATAATAGTAAAATTTACTGACTAATAAATAAATAAGAAAATTGTATGACAAACAATAATAACAACTGCGCTCTATATCCATTCATACCCCTGCACTAAGTAAATTCCTTGACTTCTAACTTCTAAGGGACGCTAACTGTATTCAGAAGTCGGTTAAATACAAAGCGAATTACTGTTTCCAGTTTACGAGCAACCGACCATAATGTCCGGTTAACTAAACGTAACTTAAACTTCAATCGTTAATATTGTTTCCGTTAATATTAACTTTTCAACTAAAATCAGTTTATTTTATGTCCTTTTAAAAGGACTTTCAACTTTAAACGGAAATTAATACGAGATTAGATTAATCTCAGAAAATTTTTGTATGGTTATTAACCGAAAGTTTTTTTATTTTTATTTTAAAAGACTTCATGCACACACTAATGTACAAGGTGGGCTTAATGCCTAGGGCATTCTCCTCCAGCCAGACCTTTGGGTGATGCAGAGACAAAAACAATGGTCGATGCAAGAAGAAGCAAGCGTATTTAAGACTCAACAGAAATACATAAAAAAAAAGTTGAGTAATTCTATAAATTCATTACGTTCGGTCCTTATAGAATCTTTTTTTTACTTAATTTACTCAAAACATGGGATTACCTTATAATTATTAATTTATAATTATATAAAAGTGGTAAAACATGTGTTATAAAAAGGCTATGAAACTTACAATATTGCGGGCGCTCATTGAAGGCAGCGACGCCTGCTCATTTACCATATAAAAAAAACATTATTTCTCCTTACACACTGCTTACACATACTGGATGGTTCCAGTGTGGGAGAGCCATGCTTCGGCACGAATGGGCCGGCTCGACCGGAGTGATACCACGGCCTCACAGAAAATCGACGTGAAACAACACTTGCGTTGTCGTGTCGCGTCGTATGAGGAGGCTCAATTACCTAACCATGAAGGGGGGGGGATCTTCCAATTTCCCTAATATCCCGAATAATAAAAAAAAAAACGCTTCTTACTCTCATATTTTATCTCTTCTCTTACATTTACATTCTTTTAATCATAGTACACAAAGAAATAAAATCAAATCAACCATAGGTAAAGTCATTCACTCAAATAACTAATTAATTAATTGAAGTCCTTCTATTTTGAAGAATAGTGGACTTCAATTAATTACCTAACCTACGTCGTACAAACTATTTTTCTTTTCAATAGAACTCCTTTCAGATCAAATCAAATCGAGAAATAATGACTTTTAAAAATTATTTAAAAAAATATAAGCCATTTAAAAATAAAATAGTAAGGTAAAGGCACCTAATTCCGCGCTGTTTTTAACATAACACGAAAGAACATTATAAATTAAGTATTTATCGGACCTTTGTGTACAATTTTATATTTTTATCAGAAGTGTTAGCTATCAAATTTTTGAAAAATATTTGCAGTTTGTCAGTAAATGCTTATTGAAGCTGATAAAATAAATAAAAATATAAAAAAGTCCGAGGTACCTTATTCCGATTTAAAAATCGTAATTCCGATGCATTTGGTTCCTAATTCCGAGTATAAAAATAGAAAGGGAACTATGTAGGGAGAATTATACATGATGTTTAAAAGTCAAATCTGTTTATTTTTTATATTACTTAAATCAATTCTGTTTTTGTTTATTCTAGTTTTATTCTAAACCCTGTTTTTTATTAATATTATTCCTTAATCTTATAAAAATATAAAAATGAATTAACAATATCAACATTAAAATCTAATTGTTGCATTACAAAAATTTTTGTTTCCTCCGATTTTGAGAGTACCGTTTTGCGACCGGCTATATGGCCACTATATTTTTGGTCACGTTTGTCTCTCAATGTCGTTTCTGGAATGTTGTATTCTCGGGAAGCCTTATAGACGCTACTGCCATTATTAATTGCAATAAGCGCACTTTCAAGATCCTCGACCGTATATTTCTTTTTTGCGTTCATTATCCTACAACAACACAAGTAAGTTAATGTAAGTAGTACCACAGGTAATAATTATTTTTACCTGTGCTACGACCCGTAGTAGCACCGGTAAAAAGGGAAAATACCTAATAATTATGAATATTCTTAAGAGTCTTCTAAAGTCATTTTCTTTAATATAATAAAATAAATAAAATACATGCAATTAAAAAAAAACTAAACGTAAAAAAAATAATTTTATTATATTTTTTTACAAACACACACTCCAATTTTATGTATTTGTATAGATGATTAGTATTCTTTCAGTTACTAAACGCGTATCTACTAAGCACATAAAATAATGAACACTCTGTATTTAAACAGGGTCTTAACTAACTTCGGAATTAGGTTCTCATGTAATCTTATTCCGACGTAAATACATCGGAATTAGGTACTCATGTAACCTTATTCCGACGTAAATACATCGGAATAGCGTTTTATGATGCTAAATCAAAGTTTCTAATTCCGAGTACTAAAAAGTAAAAGATTTTTTAATATTATGCAAATAAAATAATGTATAGTTACAATATGAAAGGAAAACAAATATAAAGTACATACATATAATAACAGAACACTTATAAAACCTAATGTCTTCACTAAAATCTTCTATACAACGTATTAATAAAGTACCTGTACAAACAATTTTTGACCTGCTATAATTAGTAAATGCGACGCCACGGTGTACCTCGGAAATAGATTATTAAATGTATGAGTTATTCATTAAGTCAGAACTAACACATTAAAGTTTATAATCATAAAACAGACACCGAAATTTAAAAAAAACTAAATGTCTTTAAATTTGTTTTTCCGTGGTATACATCGGCTTTTAGGAACACACTAAAATATTTTGCACCTAATGCCGCGGTATTTTAAACACTTATTTTCTTGCTAATTTGCAAATAAAATACTCAAATCTTAAGTGTTTTCGATAAAAAATATTATCCTTTCAATATTTCAACCTAAACGAAAACTCGCGTTGTATAAAATTATTACGTAAAACACTATTTGGCAAATCGTAATACTCACGTGCATAAGGTCCCAAATGTATGAAGTGTGCTTTCGACGCCGCTCCCCGCGGCAAAATGACCGATTATTTTACAGTGTGACCATACTAAACTCTCCTTTGTATAAATAAATATGAACAGATAATTATTAATTCATTATTTTATCATGCAGACCATAAATAACTAGTAAATTGCTTTAAAAAACTGTTTTTCTAAATACATCGGAATATGATGCCATTTTTAGAACCCCTCGGAATAAGGTGCATTTACCTTAAATTGGAACCTATAGTACGTACTATTTTTGACTAAGGACTAAATCGATAAACCGATTTTGATTGATTTCAATAGGCTAAGTTAGATTTAAACCGTAGATCCAAATATAGATACAGAAAGATATATAATAAAATAAAAACTGCGTTTAAAAAACAAAAAGACAAAACTAAAAAGCAAATAATAAGTATTAGTACTGATAGGTTATCCACCAACTGATAGGTTAGGTTCGGCGCCATGTTTTATGCAAAATTATTCATTAAAACCTTAATAGATATCTAATTTACCCATTAAGTTATTTCATTATGACATGAGAAAAAAATACAATCAGCCGAAAATCATACCACCTCCTTTTATTGAAGTCGGTAAAAATACATATCAATGATTGAAAATTATTTAATCACTTTAAATAAAACACATTACCTCTACATTTTGCTTTTATTTTAATAGGTATTATATCTATATATACGTATAAAAGAATAATCTTTTCACCAATAAATGAAGAACAATAATTGAAAAACATATATTCACTTAATTTCCATATAAAATATACCCAAATCTGAATTTCTAGATAAAACTAACATAGAATCAGACGTTTGTAAAGGTCACATATTATATTATGCTTGTTTATTGCCTCAAAACAACCTAGATTTTATTTCGTAACCTTTTTACGTTATATCAAAATATTTTTATTATTTTAATTCATGGATCTTTAATAGAAAAACATAAATTTTATGGGCATCGTATTTATAATAACATATTGATATTTTTGGCTAGTTTTTTCTTTAGAAGTGTCTGATGAATAGCTAAAATAATTATGTGCTGTACCGCCAAAACAGCTTCATCAAATTTGCTAGACCGAAAAACTGGCATAAGTACAGCATTTAGAGTTCCGGTTCGCGGCTTGCTTAGGTGTACCTGCGTACAATACCTAACTTATGATCAATGGCAATACACTTGGTGTAACAACATGAGCATTTCTGAATATTGCAAAAAGTGGAATTGGTCTGATTATTCATAGGTACCGAAGCCGTTAACCAAGTATAAAGCGAGATAAATGAGCTTCATAAGAATTGTCACTAATACAATTCATCACAAAAGAAAAAAGGTGCTAAGGGCCAGGTTTTGACCTCTACATCAAGGCAAGGGTCACCACAAATTCTCGATATTCAGCCATCAATCCCAAATGTTGGCTCAATGTGCGATTACCGTGAGAGATGGCTAACCTTCCATTTACCCCTGCTTCCACATCCCCTAACATATATTATTCAGAAACATTTCGTCCCTTTTTCTCACAGTTTTCAATGATAGTCCCTTGGTACAATCTAACTTTAAGTACACCCTGAATTAACTAGGTTTTTAAGTAGTTTTTAGGCACAAAGGGTGGATAACCTCAAAAATTGGGAGTGAACTTTTATTTTAACAAGTCCTTGGTCGTGTGGTTGCAAATCGACTGCGTGACACGAGGACCGATTTCCGAGAGGAACAAAGCATTTGAACGTTTTAAGATTTTCGATATTCTCAGTCGTATTGCGTCCGGCGTTTGACGATACAACGACCCCTGACTACAATAGGACTATAGTGTAACAAATATACTTTTATTTTCAAAGAATAAAAGATTGTGTTTTGGATTTTACCTTGGACAGATGGTTACGGCATTATTTCCCCGAATTCGGAGACAAAGCACCAAGCAGTAATCTACCGATTACCTACACAA